ATCATACCAAACTGCATCCCAAACCTTCCTTTTCTCCCAGTGCAGTCTTTCTTGATTTTTCTGCCTTCCATGTATCCACTGGTATCCTTGATCTCCCTCTGAATGGTTCTTCCTGACTATCTTTTTTTTAACCAGTTTCCTGCCTTTCTTAAGGGTCTGGTACCTTGTGTGATAGCACCATGAGAATTGAGGAGAACTTACTGTTCAGCCACTTTGGTAATATACTACTAAGCATGGGGAAATTATTGTTGTCCTTTAGTTCTCACAAAGTATTTTTAACTTCCATCACCAAACTAATCGGATCTGCAGGTCTGGCAAATATAAATTCTAACTTTTTTCCCCTCTAAGTATCCACCTGCTTTCTCATTTCATATGCTAAGACTGTAAGATCTCTGCAGAGAATTGGTTTCTGTTGCATAAATTCAGTGCTTAGCATAATGGGCCTGATCCCTGATTGGGGCATTTAGGGGCTACTGCAATACAAGATAAGTCTCACATTTTTCTTTTGATAAATCCTAATTTCTTAGGACCCCCCCACCCCCAAAAAAGGAATTGCCATAATTAAAACAGATATTGAGACATTGAAGCTGGAAATACAGATTATGTAATCAAAAGAAGATTATAAATTATTTTTACGGCAGTGGTTTTTAAGAGTTACCTCTATATTCTTGCAATATTTCAACTTTGTGCTGAATACCCCAATAGCAAGGAAAAGGGCATTCACACATTTTTCTTCCCTGCACCCAAACTTCTTAAACTAAGTGTAAACAAATGCTTACTGGCCTTTGGGCTGAGAAGAGGGGGCATTTAACAAACTCTACTAAAATTGAGGAAATTCTGACGCTTTCCTCTGTAAGTCACCTTCCATATTGCTTCCCCCCACAAAAAAAGTGACCACTCTTTTTTTTTTTTTTTAAACTACTGTAGGAGTTGGGGAAGTGAAATGTAATAGTTTTTGGTTCAATTTTAACATTGTCTGCCATATTGAAATTTCACAACACAGATCAAATCAATCTCTGAATATTGCATCGCTGCAATAAGACTTAAGTTTTGAATTAGTACTCAAATTATTTTCAGCAGATATTAAAGATCATTGTCAGGTTAGCTAACATTCCTTTTCAGTGTTTATGCTAAGACTGGGAAACTGATTTTGTCTTGACATTGAGCAGCTTTTGTCTGATGGTCCAATACTAGAACAGACTCAAGCAATTAGTGGAGTCCTCTGTTTTGTGGCTCAACTGGCAGTGTGTGCAACCTAGACTTTAGTAAGGCATTTGATACGGTCTCGCATGATATTCTT